CAAATGAATTCATTCAGACGAAACATGATCAAATATATTCTTCAAATTTAAAACTTTGGAACTCTCTTCTTCTGTGAAAACTGAAATATCAACTATATTCTGTCCAAAAGAATGATGATAAAATAGTTCAATTTTTCGAATTACTTGAATCATTTATGCTACTTTCAAAACATTTTTTCATTTGTTGAGATTTGATAAATCTTCAAATAAAAAGAAAGAATTCAAAAAAAAACATTATAAGTATCTTTTTTTTCTCTTTACTTGAAAAGATTAAATTATTAAGATCATGTAATATAAAGGAATGTTTAAAAAAACTTATAAATAAACGAAGTTCATCATATTGATTATGAAAAAATTGGTCGAATTGTTGTTGGTCTTAAAACATTTCAAAGAACATAAATATCTTCTAAACATCCAACCTATATAAAAGACAAAAATAACAAACAATTTGTATTCGAGTTGATGCTTAAACGTGTAATAAATGATGAATTTTATATATCCATTGACATGGTAAAAATGAATTGTGATCAATAAAACCTTAAAATCAAAAAGTAGCTAATAACTAACTTAATTCAATAAAAATCGACTTATTCATTCAAATTCGAAAAAAAGCTACCTAGTTAATATCTCTACAAAATGCATACTTAGCAAAAGTCGAAGCAATTGCTTGACGAACACGTATATCAGGGTACTGTTGCTTTAATTGTTGTTCAAGATAAGTTAATATTCGAAAATCAATATCATCTATAAGTTGAGCTAGCGCAAACTATTTTATATACATACAAAAAAAAATTATTATAATCATAAATTTCTTTTATCTACTTTAGCAAGAGCATAGGAACTTGTAGTATGTTGAATAGAATCTTCTAATAATTTAATTCCTATGATTGTAAATGCATGACTATTAATTAATAAAAAAGGTAATGTTCGTAAAGCATTTAGTGAAACATGTATAACACGCGCATTATTATCATTAAGACATATAACCTTGAACTGTCTTGTAAATCAGTTGATACAAGTGAACATTGATTAATAAAAGAATTATTACATGAATTTGATAATGATGATAGTGTTAAAAGATGATTTGTTGTTTGAATTAATGTAACAAGTAAATTTGCACATGCACCACGTAAATGTAGATCACCGTATTCACATAAAGATAAAAGATATGTAATATCTTAAAGAAAAGAAAAAAAAAGATACCTTGATGTTCGATAAATTTTAATGTATTACAAGTCATATAGAGATGTGAATTTCATTTTTTCGTTTAGAGAATTCAATTTTAATTACAAAATTTTTATTTAATCAGAAATCTTCAAAGACTAAAGAAAAACTTCTTAGAGGATACAATTGATTTCATATCTCGAACTTCGGCTTAGAACTATTTTTTGAGGTAGTTATATGATTGTATAATTTCAATCTCTGATGTATAAATGCAGGCTTTGAGCTTCAATAAAGTGTTCTACTTGATATCTTTTCAAGTCTGATAATGTTCTAGTCTTTTGTTGATTCCAAAAAAATTAAAAATAGGAATAGAACTAGAGCTGCTGAATCAATATTCAGAAATCTCCGTTCTTGAATTTTCAGATTCCAATATATATATATATGTTTCAACAATTTAATAGTGATATTGTTATATCTATCAGATAACTTTCACTAAAACTTTGAGACCTTAACCAATTGAAGCCACGTCAACTAAACTCTGCCACAATCTTCTTCACCTAGGCCCTCCTACTGTTACGACATTAGAAATAATTTTGGATTATAAAAAAATCTATTTCACTGAACTGAAACTTTACAAAAAAAAGTCAAACAAGAATTAAACATACTTTCAGTAAGATAAACAAATGGATCAAATTGTTTATAAATACGATAGACATATTGGTATAGCACATTTAACACTAATACATGATTCATCATCACTTTTTATCGTACCATCCATATTAAGTATATATCTAATCGGAAAAAAATATAATTGATTAACAAGTTTAGCAGCCTATCGTTCGTTTTTCATTATTAATCATTGATGTTGAATCGAATTTATCATTCATTTCAATAAATCAACGTTGATATGTTGAATAAGCTATTGTTTTAGAAAAAAAAACAAATGAAAAAAAATTCTTGTTTTTTTCTCAATATTTACCTGTTTTTAAGGCTTCACTAACACAAGTTTTTTCTATAGATCCAATTTGAATTGAAATTAATAATTGATCAAAATCAAATAAATTTGAATAACGAAGTAATTGAAGAATTTTTTTTATTAAATCACGATAACCAATTATTAAACGTGTACTAGCATTTTGATTTTGATGTTCAAATAATTGATCTATTAAAATAAAAGACAATTATAATGAATTGAAATTATTATTTGAAAGAAAACCTATCAATTAAATTTGTCATTAGAAAACGTCCTATAACCATGGGATAACATATTTGTTGGATAGGCCATGAGAAGTTTCTAAGAATAGTTTAGTAGTTTATTAAATATTTCAAAAGAAAATTATTTGTTATTAATATTAGGAAAAGAAAAAGAAAAATTCGTTCTCACTCAACTTCATACTTTAACTATAACGATAGCCAGTGAACTCCTATGACTAAACCATTCTTAAGTTGCATGAAACTACGCTCGATTACTTTCGAGGACGGATCGCTTCAAATGATAGACAGTTTCTCAGTTCGTATTTCGACAAATAGTATCGGACTACCTATTGTACATTTTCTGAGAAATATCCTCTCCTGCTAGAAATTTTAACCGAAACATAGTAGAGCAATTCTTTTCTGTTTCTATTCAACCGTATGACATTTTTCTGATTACTTCTTTAAAAAAATTTGTCTTAGATGACAAAGATTTTTGTTTTAATTACTTTAATTTCTTTATCATTAATCGGTCGACCAAGACTACGAAAAATAAGTTCATAATATTCTGATAAAATGGTTGAATCTTTTTCGGATGTATTACATTTGCGAATTCAGCAAATCACCACAGAACACCTAATCGAAATTAAAAAAAAAATCCTTATTATTAATTTAAGTCAAATAATCAAAATAACCTTTTAAAGCATTTGGTCCAACATTAGGATTATGTTTTATAATTCGATATAATTCAATTTGAATTCTTGTTGAATCTGCTTCTTTTAAATTCTATTTTATAATTCATACAAAATTATACAGAAAAAAAGAATTTCTTTTATAATACTTTAACAAATTTATTAAGATTTTCTTCAGCAGTCAATCGTACATTATAATCATTTTCATCACATGTTGTAAATAATGTTTCCACACTAGCTTTAACTAATTTAAAATAATTTTCATTGTTACCTCTAAATGAGAAGAACATTCTATAAGAGATATAAACAAAATGAAAAACAGAAAAAGATCTAATTATTTACTTGATTATTAATATTTTTGATGCTGTTGTTGAAAGTAATTTTAAAAATTCAAGTGATTTATTTAGTTTATCCATGTTGTGTAATTTATATTCAATTCATTTATTTTAAACACCACATTATTTGATAATCATAACAAATGAATGAATAGTCGACTGAAAAAGTCTAACATCGATTGAATGTTTATAAACACCATTGACATTTCTGTTTCTTTTCATTAATAGATGGCACTACATTACGTCTTTCTAAAACAAGACTATAAAGTGAAAACTTTTTCATCAACCGATATTCTTATAACTAAAATATACTTTCTACTACACGTTCAACAGGAATATGTTTTGATCTTGTAAACACTAAAAGTGAGTCTAAAGCTAGTATTATGCGCTGGTGTGGGTGTGGATAGAAGTACTTCATTTATTGACATCCTTCCATCTAGAGTCACACTCTTTGCCACAGCCATCATCATGCTACTCACCCACAGCCCACACTCACCACATAATATCTACTGACTGTGTGGGAAAAAACTTTTATGACTCCAACAACAATGAGAACAACATGAATAAATTCTTTTTATCATATTTCGTTTTCTTTGCTTTGAATGACAATGCATTTTATTTTCGTTTTGTTATCTCTTGCTTGCTTGACGCACAGAAACTTCGTCAACACTCTTGAAACAGAGGAAAGATAAGAAGTCTTTCATGCAATCAACGAAACGCGCTCACTCTTAAAATAAGTGGCTATAAAAATTACCAACAAAAGGAAGAAAAAAGCAACAATATCTATATATATAGAGAGAGAGAGAAAGTGGGATGAAGTATATTTGTCTTCGGATTACTATCGTCAACTAGCTTTTACATTTTTATTCACTTATTTTCGCTCGTTAATAAAGAATATAATTATCATCAAAATGGACAAAAAGAAATCAACATCAACTGCTAGTGGATCATCTTCTCCTTCCACAATAAATAAACCAAAAAAATCATCATCAACAACAGCAGCAGCATCACTACCAACAACAACGACAAGCAGAAATGCGGTACTTCCTCAAACTGCTCGTCGGATTCTTCAAAATTTCCTTTTGGTATGGCTCGATGCCAATTTGCAAGAATCAGATAACGATTTTACGAATTCATTGCAACATCTTCGAAAAATTGTGGCATCCATCACAACGTTTACGGATGCCCAACAATGTGTTAATTACCTAAGTGAAATCAAAAGAGAAAAGGTATTTATGATTGTATCAGGTGCCTTGGGTCGTCAAATAGTACCAGAAATCGAAGCATTGCCACAACTGGAAGCAATTTATGTGTTTTGTGGTAACCAATCGGTTCATGAACAATGGGCTAAAAAAATAAGCAAGGTTAAGGGTGTATACACAAAAATAGAACCAATTTGTCAAGCACTTGAAATCGATCGACAACGATGTGATCAAGCTATGATCCCGATCAGCTTTAATGGTCGTGATGCATTATTTATGTATACACAACTTTTAAAAGAAGCCCTTTTGGAAATTGAAGATGACGATGTCAAATCAATTAAAGATCTCGTAGAGTACTGTCGTCTACAAGATGATATCGATGAAGGTCAAATTACGAAGGTCGAAAATGAATATCGTGATCATGCACCAATATGGTGGTATACGGCAGAGACATTTATTTATCCAATGCTCAATCGTGGCCTTCGACAAATGGATGTCGATATTATTCTGAAGATGGGTTTCTTCATCCGTCATTTACATCAACATATTACTGAATTACATCGTCAACAACAAGATTCCATACCAGCAAAATTTCAAGTCTTCCGTGGACAAGGTTTGTCCATGGAAGATTTTGAAAAAATGAAAAAAACCAAAGGAGGACTTATGTCCTTCAACAATTTTCTGTCAACAAGTCGCAACCGTGAGATATCTTTCAACAACTTTGCACGACCAGCAGCATTAAATACAAATTCAGTTGGCATCCTTTTCATTATGAACATTGATATGGCTATTTGTACAAAATCCTCAACACCATTTGCTGAAGTAAGCAAAGTTGGCTACTACAAAGATAAAGAGGAAGAAATACTATTTTCAACACATGCGATTTTTCGTATCGATCGCATTGAACAAATTCACGATAATCACTCTGATCGGCTATACGAAGTTAATCTCACTATTGTCGGTAATGACAATCATGAATTGAACACACTTACAGCACATATACGTGAGGACCTTGGTGACCGCACAGGATGGTTTCGACTTGGTCTCATACTTATTAAAGTGGGCGAACCTGCAAAAGCAGAACAACTCTATCAAATTCTCCTCGCAAAGGCGTCTTCTGATCAAGGTCGAGCGGAATACAATCATCAACTTGGCTGGGTGTATAATGACAGGGGAGAGTATTCAAAAGCACTTTTATATTATGAAAAATCACAGGATATTTACAAGAAAATTCTCTCTCCAAATGATCTCCGTTTGGCTTCTTCCTACAACAACATCGGCGAAGTGTATAGAAAGATGGGCGAGTACTCGAAAGCACTTTCATCGCACGAACGATCACTTGAAATCCAGAAAATAGCTCTCCCTCCGAATCATCC